TGGGGTTGGGATGTACAGAAAAATCTTATATAGATAACAAAGTATTCTGTGTATGATTTGCTGGTCATAAAAGACTATTGTCATGGACTCCCACCTGTTTCTAAATCTAGCTCTTACTTCTATTATACTGAATTAGATGACTAAATTCATAAAGAAGTGTTAGCATGGGTGATTCTTGACAACAGCAAGCTTTTCACAAATTTACTTTGGATTGTGGAATACAAGGAGAAAATAAAGAAAACAATTCAACTCCTGGAGGCACAAATTGAAATACCTGCTCTTCTCAACTTCACTTATGAAGCTTTATAAAAATTACAGTCTTTCACAGTTACTGCTCTTGGTGGGTGTCAGAATTCTTCAAAACAAAAGGCATAGAGCTCTGAATTTAAATGGGTTTCTCTAACAGTTGCATAAGAATGTCTAGTGGGGCCTCAACAGTAATAGACTTTTCAAGCTTCCTTTTCTGAATATATTTTGGCTCAGTATTACATTATTACTTTTTCCCTCTCAAAAGACAGTTCAACAAAAAATTAGCAAGATTATACTGACACAACATATAATCAGAAAAGAAAGGTTGAGAAAGCAGTTTCTATCAGAGGCTCCCAAACAATACAAAAATGAGATCTCAAAGAAGTTGGTCTCATTTAGTTGAAAAACCAGCACCCTCTAGCCTCTAACCAAGATAAGTATGTTTCTATAAATCATTACGAATCATGCTAATCCCATCACAACCAACGTAAGATGCACATGGCCAGGTAAAATGTGGGAAGTGTAACACTCCATGAAATGATGCATATTTTGAAGGAAGGATAACTGCATGTCTTCTATAAGCATGAGTAAAATAACATCATGCAAGTCCTAAGCCTTCAGGAGAAGAATGAATGGATATTTTTCCAAAATGCAATCTAATAACACCATATAATGTCAAGAGGCCCCTGGCCAGGCACTTGGTATTGCCAAAAATGTCTAAGTATTACATGAGTAAAGCACCACAGGGTTTAAGAGACCTTTACAGTCTTGACAGACCTCTCTTTTTGGTCTACAGAGATACATAAGCATCAAGAATACAAAACTGAAAAATCTTTTCCATGCTTCGACAGAGCCCCTCAAGCATTTTTCCCAAATCAAAACCCAAAGTGAGGAGCAATGATAGCAGAGGGTCACATTGCCCACCACTGGCCCTTCAGAAGAATGCGTATGGGTAAAACCAAGTTGCTGATGAAAATGAAAGCAAATCTCTTGGGTGGAGATGGGTAAATGTGATATCTAAGCTTCTTTCCAGGTCAACGACATCGGCAGACACTCAAAAGTAGTCAAGGACTGGCTAGAGGACTACAAATACCTGCCCAGTGTAGAAGAACCCCCTATATTTGAAAATCTGAGAAAGACATGCAGAGATGGGGAAGACTGAACTGAAGGGTGGATCATGGCACCCTCACAATTAGCAGATCCTTGAACAGACTAGTTAGTGTTAGGGGGAATGGGAAGATCAAAACTCTCTGGTTCGATGTTATCAGGTCAAGGTCCGTGTCAAATTGGTCCTATGGCATCTGTACAGGAAAAGGATCCCCTAAGGTTCTCTTCCTGTCACCCCCATATGCTAATGAAAATGGGAAGCTCTTAAAGCTTACTAGTTATAAACAACTCAGCTCCTGACTTATTTCATTGGTGAAGATATAAGTGTTGAAAATTTACAAATGAATATATTGCCCATAAGTTTCCAGCCCAAAACTTCTTTGGATGAGTAACCTGTTACCATCTGTGGTTTGCAATGGTCTATCTACTGTAATCATTTGGGGGAAATAGTCATTATAAATCCATTATTTACTTTTGGTAAGACATTTAAAAGCCTTTCTGTTTTCATAGGTGGTGGACGTGTGAAAATTGAGAGTGTAAAACTGGATTTCAAAGAAAAGGCCCAAGCTAAAGTCGGTTCACTCGACAATGCTCACCATGTACCTGGAGGTGGTAATGTCAAGGTAAGAAACAAGGTCATGAGCCAATCTTGTTTTTTGGATTTTTTTAATTATTGTTATTATTCTGAAATACTCATCAAAATGAGTCCCATACTGAAGACCTGGAGAAATAAGAAGTAGCATTGGAAGAGCTGAATAGAAGTCACATTAATATCAATTCTAGGATATAGAGAAAGATCTAGGGGCCAGTCAAGATTTTGAGTTAACAAGGACTGATGCTTGTCTTAAACAGATTGACAGCCAAAAGTTGAACTTCAGAGAGCATGCTAAGGCTCGTGTGGACCATGGGGCTGAGATCATTACACAGTCCCCAGGCAGATCCAGTGTGGCATCACCCCGGCGACTCAGCAACGTCTCCTCTTCTGGAAGCATCAACCTGCTCGAATCTCCTCAGCTTGCCACTTTAGCTGAGGATGTCACTGCTGCACTCGCTAAGCAGGGCTTGTGAATAGTTCTCATGTAGCATTGAAGTAATAATATTTAGGCATGAGCTCTTGGCAGGAGTGGCTCTGAGCAGGTGTTATCTTCATTCTTTACAAACCATGAAATAAATAATCTCATCCCAAACTGTAGTAATTGTTACAATTTTATATAAAAAAATGAATAGTATATGCAGAAATTGACCTGATTTCCATTTGCAACAGGAAGATACTGGCTTTACAATTGGACAGTTATTTTTGCTCTGCTCTGTTTTGCATGGAGTATTATTATTTTAAAAATTGCATTTTTACCTTTCATGTGCCTGAAGGCTATCCACCACATTCTGAAAGGCCTTGTTAAAATCCAAGCTGCTCATTTTACTATTCTGTTTCTGAGTGAAAAGATAAAAACTGCCCATAGTAACTTATTACAGGTTAAATTAAAGCAAGGAGTCTGATTGCAGGAAAGAAAGAGCATGTAAGAAGTATGTTTTTTTAAAGTGTTATTTTGTATAAATGGGAAGAAAGATTCAATTAACTTATTAACATTTGGGACCTGGATAATTATATCAGAGTATGTCAATCCAATAAATTATTTAACTAATTAAAAAATGGTACAAAACATTGGAGCTGTGGTTGAGGAAGTGGTGTAAGGTGCATCTCTTAGAAATGATGCACTTTCATTAGGATGGACTCATGTCTGATTAGAATGTCAGCCGATTGGCTAGATCTGTGTCCACACTACCAGTTTCACACCCCCTTCCATCTGTTTGATACAGTATTATAGATATAAATATATATATATTTCTCTGTGGCCATTTGTGATACTTCCTCATATACTTGAATATTATACTTCTTTATTCACAGTATCTGTGTCTCCTGCACCCTTTGGTGTTGCGATTTTAGGTATGTGAAAGTAGATGTTAGCAGGGTTCTCTCCCTATTTAAAAAAAAAATACATTAAAAAGACAAAAAATTTAGCATGAAGTTGCTTTCTGTAACAACTCAAAGCTGTAACCCTGTTTTAGTGCCAGATACTAGTCTCTCCCGTGATGCTAGAAAAAATTATTTTTCTTTGCTTTCACCAACATAGAGTTTGTGGGGGTAGGTCCAGTTATACATAAAAGGGTTTACAGATTGTTGGTTTAAGATTATGGGTTGATCTCATTTTTAATCATGGAATAGTTGGGGTTTTATTTCTATATTTATTCATGAAACCAACTTCTTAAGATTTTTCTTTTTTCTTTTTTTTTTTCCATTTGCTAAAGTTGAAACTAACAGTGGTAGATTGGGGCATTTTTTCCCATTTTTCTAAATAGTATCTGTTTATTGAATTCTCTGATATAAGATGTCTGGCTTCCACCACCCAAAGTAAAAATCACTTCATCAGAAAGGAAAAATACAATATTTTGAAGAGCTATAGCTATAAAACATTTGAGACACAGACATCTAAATTTTTTTCCAGGACTCCAACATCGCCCTCTACAAAGGAACACAGTGTAACTTAGTATTATTTATCAGTACTTTATATATACTGACTTTATATATAGTCTACAAATCACAAATCAGTTAGTTAATTCCTTTCACAAAACATTCATCTTAGACTTTCAGATAAACAATGTAATAGTCAATGGCCTGAACAGGGCAAAGAGCTGCCAGGCTGGATGGACACTTCTTAGTATTTTATCTGTTCTTTTTCTTGCTCAGGGCTGGTGGGCTGGATCTGAACAGTTAAAGACAAATGGCCCACTAGGTTTTTGATGTCTTTGAACCAAATCGATTCCTGAATATGAAGAAGGATATGATGAGCATGGGTTGAGGCAACGTGGAAGTATAGGAGCATCTAAGACAAAAGCCAAGGGATGCAAAGACAGAGAGACACAGGTGCCATTTTGCAACCCATCGGATGTCACAACCAATGTGACTGCCATAAGAGAAACCCTAGGAGCAATCCCACACCATTCATTCTCAGTTAAGAGATTTTACACAGGTAAACATGAGTTAACCCATTTCTAAATCAGTTATTTTATAGGACAGTCAAAAACCTAGAAACTACTGAGTAGGACTGTGGATGTGTCTATTTTCTGCCTAGTAAGTGCTATGAGGTTTGATTTGACCCATCTGGGCAATTTCCTCATTAGTTTCCCTTGAAATGCACCAGAAAATAGGATGAGAAGGAAGAGTGTGTAGAGACTGATGGTATATTCTTACATGTGTTCAATAGTGATTAAAGTTCTCTAGAAGTAAGTTAACAACTGGTTAGAACAGATTTAACCTTTGAAACAATTTTTTTTCAACCTGGTTTATGTTTTTTATAAAAGTTAAGACTAAATAAATATGCTCTATGTATTAAAATCCAGTTTATTACAACTACATGTCCAAAGTAAAGGTTATATAAGGCACTAAGTTATTAGATTTGGTACTAAAATAAATGTTTATTTCTAGTCATAACCAAATTATAGTGAATAACTGTCCTTACTTTGTATGGAAATGCAATTCTTCATAAAGTTAACAAAATCAAATGGATAATTTGTGCCAGTAAAAGAGTGAAACGCACAGGCTAAATGTCTTCTTGTGGGGATAAGGGATGGAACCCATCTTGCCTTCACTCTCAAGATAACGACTCAAATTAAGCTTTTTGAACACCACTCTTGTGGGGAGACACACACGCTGATCTAGAAATGAAAGCTTCATAGTTTCAGTTCTAGATCCACTATTGCCAGTTTCTCTCTGGCTTTAGCCTTTGAGAACCTGTTTAACGATACTTAAGTAATCCAGAGCTGCGAAGAGTTAAAAGGCCAACTTCTCCAATAAACTCACTCTCTGGGTCACCTGCAACCAAAAATTGGATACTTTACAATGATGTAGGAAAGACCCATGTTAATGATGAGTTTCAAAGGCCATGCTCATTTAGGAACCAACTCTCTCTGGATTCACCTGCTGAGTTCCAGCAGGGTGATGGGCTGAAGTCCCACCCAGAAGCAAGACACCTGTGTAACACCAGCTAGGTGTGGTTAAAGGAGGCTGAAGAGAGAATGCCATTAAATGGAAGAATGTAGTGACTGTAGCTGGCATTCTCCACATACATGCATATGGTAATAGAGCAGGAGAGAGATCATCAGCCAAAATATAACATCTGAATGTGGCTGATTCTGACATAGCTGTGATTATAGTTTTTCTCCTATTTTTCATGCCACAAAAGTAAAAATAAAGTATTCATGGTCTAAGTAGCAAAGATAAAGTAGATTCATGGCTTAGGAAGGCAAGTTCTAGGCATTCCTTCAAAGATTGATGTGCTAAAATCAGCACTGATTTTTCACCTGGGATTTCTAGCCTGGGTGTGTAGGTTGAGGCCAAGTCCCTCTGCAGGAAAAAACTTATTTTCAAACTCAGAAAATGTCAATCATAAAAATCCACTTCAACTTTAGCAAAAAGAAAAAAATCAACAAAAAGTATACTCTGTATGCTGGGATTCCAAGGTTCCAACACACCGCTACAATTCTGTGGGGGTTTCTTTCTTCTGATAATTCTAGAGCCTGTTACCATAGAAAGGCATTTCTTCAATGGCTGGTTGTAGTTAGTTCATGTTTTTCAATCAAATTTGCAAATGTATTTGTTGCTGTATAGTGATTGTTTTGCAAAATAAAATTGCTTGTCACCTAACTGCTAGTTTCAGATTGATTGTTCCCCCTTCTCTGTGGGGGCGGGGGGAGGAAGGGGTGTGTGTGTGTGTGTGTGTGTGTGTGTACATTCACAAGCATGTGTACACATTGTTTGATACTACCAAAGAAAAATTGTGACAAGAAGAATGTAATTACTTGCTGAATTCCTACTATATGTCAGGCCCTACACTAGGTGATTTTATATTAGCCCGCCTAATTAGTAAGGGAGTTTGTTTTTTATCTCTACTGTATTAGGAGGATGCTATCTGTTCCAAGTGACAGAAACACAAATTAAATTGCCTTAAGTATAGAGGTGAATTTATTGGCTCAAGTAACTGACCAGACAGGAGTATCTGCCTCAGGTATGGCTGGATCCAGGTACTGAAAATATGGCATCAAGAAGCTTTCTTTCTCCAGTTCCGTATCCAGGCACTCAAAAGGTGTAATCAGGAATCTTTCTTTTCCCAACTTTTAGTTCTCCTTCCTCTGTGCTGTTTATTCTCAGGTAGGCACCCCTTTCATGATGGGCAGCAGCAGTTCCAGATTTTACAACCTACTGACAGAAACCTCTCTCCCAAAAGCACTAGTCAAAATCCAGGATCTGAAAAATCATTGAGCTACTTTGCATCACCTGCCCACTTATGCTCATGGGCCAGGCTTGGGTCCCATACCCAAATGTATAGCAGGTGGTTGGGCAGAAGGAGAGTAAAGGGAGAAGTGGTCTCATCTAAACTCTGTGAGCTAATCATGGAAAGGCACTGTTTCTTCCAAAGTCAAGTCAGAAGAGAGAGGGCATTCGTGAAAACACATGTCCACTATAGCCACACCCCTGTTCTCTATCTTTGCTTGTCCTCTTTTTGCTACTCAAATTGTGCTCAGACTTCAACTGAGATCTTGTCAGAAATGCAAATTCTCAGGCCCCACCCCAGACCAACATACTCCTACAACACTCCCGTAGGTGATTCATTTGCACATTAAAATTTGAAAAGCATTCCGCTCATTCAACGCCTGCTGATGTGATGAAAGAGAAAGAGCCCCACTGCAGTCCTCTCATAGATAAAAATTGTTCCTGAGACTATTTGAAACATCACTACCTCTGATATCAAACAGTTTAGGTATCAAGTGGTAGAAAGTTGTGACTGGTAGAAAGAACACTTTTGTATTAGAGGTTTTCCTCAAATTATCCTAACTTGGTTAAAACCTACTTCTCTTTCAATGGCATTATCATTTCCCATTCAATCTCCCTTTGCTAATGATGCAGATTTGGTCCAATCTAGCCAAAATCATCAAAGTTTCTCTATAATAATTTTTCTTTTAATTAGCACTTATGTTGTCCTTCAAAGAGTCTTTAAAACACAAGGCATTAAAGATATTTTTTTGTTTGATAGCGTGAATCACAATAAAATTGGTGATTTCCTTTTTCATTAACAAAGCAAAGAAAATACTTGACTTGAGAGGAGAGAACTCAGATATGATATAGGATGACACTGTAACATTCCATGTAGCTTATTGGGGGAAAAAATATTCCTCTTCTGGTTCATGATGTGGCTCTTACTTATAGAACTGTGACCCAAATAATTCAGGGCTACAGTGTTGTCAAGAGTACACATTCTAAGAACCTAGAATTGCTTCAAAACACTGAGTCCTTCGCTAGTGTTTCTGGAGCATGTTGAAGAAGCATCACAGACACATTCCTTCAAGCCTCCTTTGTTTCTTTCTATCACAAATACACCTTGGCTGCTCCTTCAGATTCCATCCAAATCCCTGCCTGCCCCTGACCTGGTTTGAGGTCACAGACCTGTGGCCTCGAGATGTGCCCTCGAGATGTGCCCTGTGTGGTCTGCACAGTGTTTTCAAATTCAGGAAGCTCACATGCACCACATCCCACAACCCCAGATCTGGATCTTCTTTTGAAAAGTGAAAGGATTTGGCAGAACCTGGCCTGCGTTCTCCCATGCTGACAATTGGCTGGAGCTGGCCCACGGGCACCTCTGAGATGGGGTTTGTTCCCTCCCTTGGCCAACAGCCCTACTGTGCCTGTTATTCCTCCCACCTATTAACCTCCACTCATTACTCTGGACTACACAGTAGTAGTCCTGCACCCACTTCTCTTTTTCTCCATCCCAATTTCTTCATCATTCTATGAAACAAAAGCCCAGAAGAACAAGTCCCTGACCCTAGAGTGAGAGAGTGGGTGGGTCAGACTAGACTCCTCAGGGCGATGGGGAGCCTGAGAATACTAATATTTAATAGATTTTGCTGTCTCCAGGAAAAAGAAACAGAAACCTTTAGATAGTACATTTATTTGAGAGTGGCAACTGATAATCTTCATGTCTATTGATAAACACATTTAAGATTCTGCGCGTTACATATATTTATCATTAAATCAGGGAAAAAAGAAAAATACAGTGGAGTTTGTCCCCACCCTATGAAAAATAAAGACCTCATTGTTAGGTGAGAAATAACACAACTATCATCTTATTCAGTAGACCTAAACTTATATAGGATACTTACCTATTACTTTCAGGAGCAGAAGAAAGACATAGAGGAAAAATGATCTAGCCTAGTCAAGCAAGTGCTGTGCTATTGAACCCAGGGCTGATCTCCAAGGAACATACACCTTATTCAGCTGAATAAGTTGTTAAAATATTGAAAGACTTGCTTTCCAAGCCTCCTCCCCCTTACCAATGCCTGCCTTTGGCCAGCCAGACCTATTCCCCTGGGTTTTAAAGACGTCCTCCGATTCCAGCATCTGTAAGGTAAATGCCTGGCAAAGCAGAGAGCCTCTAAGATAATGCATCAGTCCCCCCACAAAGTCCTGCCTTCTAGGCATCACCACTGGCTGCTGTCCACCACGGGCTCTGGAGGACTGGCCTGTGTCTGACCAGCTGTTCCAGGGAGCCCAGATGGACAATGCAAGAGATCTACGTGGTCACCTTGCAGCCCTCTGGCCTGCCAGTGAGCCTGCCATAGCTCTTATTTGCTTGCCCTGTCTCTGCATTGCCCCACTACCACCATGTGTGAAGAAGACTGGAAACCCACAGAGGAGACAGTGCCCATGGTGACATCCTGGTAGGCAAATACCTGGTATGTGTAAAACCATACCCTGACTATGGTCACCTGCTACCAGTCTTCATTCCCCCCAGAACCTCTTTCATGTGGTTGCTTATGGGAACCATAGTCAGCACAGGACTTGAACTCTTAGCAGAGTGTGAGAGATGGGCAACAGACATTGAGGAGGTACCAGGGTCCTGAGGCCAACAGCAGGAGATTGTGAGAATGAATGGGCCCCCTGGGAGGATTTGTTTCTAACAGATGCCTAAGCCTTTTTATGGCTCCTGTTGAAATTCACCCCCATCTCAAACCCACCCAAAGCCCAACTGATGTGGACATTAACAATATTTTATGCTTATTTAGTAATTATGCCAGGCGTTCTTACAAATACATATTAACTCCTTAAAGTACGGTAATTATCAGTGACCCCATTTTACAGGTGAGAAAACTGAGGTGTAGAGTGTTTGTTTAAAATTTAATGGCAGAGCTAGAATTTTAACTCAAGCAGCTGAACAACTGATGTTTCATCTAATGAATTGTTTGACCTAATTAAATATTCTAATAAATAATTTTCACGAGCCAATAATAAAGATATCAAATGCACATTACATACACATCTCACTATTACAAGGGCTAGAAAAATGTTTATGTATTCGCTGTTAATTCGGCAAATGATGCAACAGGATTATAAAGATAAAGAATATCACTTATCTAAAGAAAAATTCTCTTTTTGTAAACACACATCATCCAATGACAATTGATTAAATGGGAAATCACTGGAAGAATTTTATGAATATCTGTATCAAGTCGTGGCTCCTACAAAGGTGTCATTTATCAAGTGACATCTGTGTCAAGCAAAGATCCACAATTTCTAAAAATCAACAATTGTGAATTATTAGGAAAATTGGTTGAACGATTTCTACTATGACATACATCATTCGACAAGCAGTTTCACAATTCATATCGTTTAGAGAGTAAAAGCAATTTTTCTAATGTATGTTCAAACTTATGATGGTGTACCAGTTGCTAAATATTTTAACATTACCCTTGCTTCCAGAACCATGCAGCTTTCTTAAAGGCTATTTTTTCTTTCTGTATTATGAAACAGATAACTAAATCAAATTTCTTGCTTTCGTTACAAGCATGGCATGATTTATCTTATGAAAACAAGATCTACAATTCATAGCTTAAAACGTGAGAATGCCTGATCAAGATTTAGACATGGAATGTGCACTTCAGAGAGTCTTGCTTATGAATATTAGCAAACAAAAAATATTCTGGTTTTTATTAGCATTGAAAACTAAGGGCCGGCCTGGTGGCACACTGGAGAGTGCGCCACTTGGGAGTGCGGCGGCGCTCCCGCCGAGGGTTGGGATCCCATGTGGAGACCGGTTCCCACTCACTGGCTGAGCGGGTGCGGGCGCAACACCAAGGGTTGCGATCCCGTTACCGGTCAGTAAAAAAGACAAAAAGGGGGGAAAAAAAAGAAAACTAAGACACAAATAGAAACCAAGGGGATTTCTCAGCCATTTTAATGCTCCGAATGTAGAAAAAGCAGAAAGCACACATTATATGGACACCAGAGTACCAATATTTTGTCTTTTCCTGTGTAACCAGTTTGTTGAACAACCATAACTCATATGAATTGTGATCAAAATGCAAATTTACTTTTTCTTTCACAGTTCCCTTAAACATCATTCAGTGGAAGAAATCCTCCCTTGCTGCAAGCTAAAGACTTGGGAAGATCCATGACCTTTTACTCACTCTCAGATAATAATATTCTTTTAGTTATAAAAAGAGTCTTGATTTAAAGAGTCTCAACTCAAATATTAAAATATCCAGCTCATGGAACAGTCAGACTCTGGCATGAGATGTACACCATGGATTTGCCTTCAGGCTGCAAACCTGCATTGGGATAGGGGTATAGTTGTTCTGTTTTCTTCTCTA